GTGTCAAACACACCTGGATTTGTCACTAAATATTTAAAAATGGAGATTTTAATGGAGATGTGGGAAAACATCCAGTTGTTGTTAAACAATTATAGTTCTAAATATTTATGATTCTCAAATGGAACTTTGGTTTAAAAGGAAAAAAGCCACAATGAAAGCTGAGCGTCATTCATGTTTAATAATAGAACAGAAAATAATAGAATAAAATAGAAAATCTCTTTATTGTCCCACAATCGTGAAAGGTCACACAAATTTGGACCTTAGAAAAAAAGTATAAGAATAACATAATATTGAAGAGTTAAAAAAATTAACAATAAAATACTGTACTGTTAGGTGTTTTAACAATATAAAAGGTGTGCACCTACTTCAAATATTGCTTTAATAACACTAATCCCACTTATACTAAAAGGTTTTTGCACTTTTGACAAGCTTTTACCCTTCCAAGATTTTTTCTAAATCTAAAATTTATACATTTGATTAAGGATGAAAGAAGCTTTTCAAACCATCTTAATCACTACACAAAACAAGATCCAGATGATTTTACCATTCTGAGGATTGTTGACACATCCGCAGAGAGCAATGGACACAGAAGCCCAGAGTTGGTAGTTTTGGTTGACATTTCTCAAATTATCCACTGCTGAGAAGGGGAAGGTAGACCTGTAAGGACACAACGGTCACATTAGTATTCATCAAAAAAAAAAAAAAAAAACACTCTCTTCAGAACATCAGTACAATTCAGTACCTGAAAAGTTCCATCAGAGTTTCCAGACAGCCTGTAGTTTGAGCTAAAGTCTGCCCTGATTCTCCATTAACAAAAACACAATTACATGTCAAACAAAGTGAGCTTAAACTTACCAGAAGAAGCAATTTAACCTAAAGCAAAACACTCATTTAAACTCTAAAGACAATTGTTGTGTATTCATGTTCTTTTGATTCCAGGAGGCATGAGCTTACTGTTTTGTGAAACCAGAACAAACAGCAAGTAGACAGACACCCTCTTCTGATTCAGTGAGGCGTCTTCTTGAGTCAAGAGTCTGACAATGTCCATGAATATCTCCTTTCTGCACAGCGAATGCTTGCAGTAGACTGTTGAACAAAGGACATACAGAGCATTTTATTTCAGCATGCAATTATTCATCATAAATACAGCACAACTTCTTTCAGCCTATAAATTGTCTTAATATCTCTATCAAATAAGAATTAATACCTGTATTAACCTTTGAAATGGCATCTGTGACCTATAACACATATATCTCTAAGGATTTTAGATTGAATATATATATATATGACAATGCTTGCCTGGACTTTCTAATACACAAAAAATGACTGTCCATGTATTCATAGGGTATATCCACCCAGTGACTTGGCAAGGATTATCTGCTACAGAAAACAGAAGGATGGATGTGAGGATCAATAATTCTGACATGCGTTTACTGACCATTAGCTTCAGCTAGTGTGCCAAGAGTAAAGAGGGCCGTCTCCTTGACATCCGAATGAACAACACTGGATTTGGACAGATTATACAGAAATGTCACGCCACCTAGCTCTCTCAGCAAATCCACATTATCCTCTGAAAAGGAAGACAAAGTGAGGTAAAACAGGGGGGGGCAACAAAATTAAACATACTGAGGTCTAGATGTGGGTAATAAAACCATTTTGGATAATGAATGAATGCAACATGTTAACAGTCTGCCATTGTAGAACTATTTTAACCCAGAAGTAATCCAACAGATTGTTTGCTACCATGCCATGTAAATGGAGTTCAGATAAAGTATTCAATTCAACTTCTGTATAGTGCTATAACATACTTTTTATAAATGAGGATAACTTGATTCAATTTTTGGTGTTTTTTTTTATATATTTGTGTTGTTGTAATTCATAATAATTCAAACTGACAGATATCAACAACTGAAATATATCACTGGATTCCTCTTTTTGAATTGATTTTATTAAGATGCACCTTGTCAGGTCTAATCACCTAAAACATCATACATACATACATACAGGGAAAGAAAAAGGCACCGAGACAATTAGTTTAGTTTTACTCGTGAGGAGAGTAGGAAGGGACCACACAGTACAGGTCTCCACCCCACTCTGCCGGTCTTCAGCTTTCTCCTCGCTATTTATTGAAGTCAGGGGATGTCCCTAATTACACAAGCTGAGGTTTTACTAAGGGCAAGGGAAACAAAATGAACTTACTTTAAACCTCAGCACATACCGGTATGTTAAAACAAAGCATGTGGTTGTTTTACGATTAAATTCATTCCAAGAACACATGTTTAGAAGAAACATGTGATAGAGGATGTTAAGGCCTCTTTTACAACCCAACATGTGATAGAGGATGTTCAAGCCTCCTTCACAACCCGTCCGTTGCATGACCTTTATCTGGAACGATCTTAAACAATAGTTAATAAAAGATGAATCACACATAATACATCATAATAGTTCATTAGTACACAACTCATGAAACACAAACGGAGTATAAATAAAATATTTCTAACACACCTATATTTAGGAAGACTGTGCCATTGTTGTATAACTATTAAATTAATTAAGTTTAGTTTATGACTGGTGACATTTCTTTTATATGAGATGTTAGTTATACCTGTAAAGGTACCAAAACTGCAGGAAAATATGGAAGTATGTCTTAAAAAAAAAAAGACTTCTCAAAATAATTTGTTTTATCTTATATTCTTATTATGATTCTCAAAGAAACAAGGACAAAACTAGCCTCTAGTTTTATTGTTACCTTTCTTTTCACAGATGGAGTGTATAGTGAGAAGTGCTTGCTTCTGTAAATCTGGACATTTCATCTGAAACTTTAGACATTCCAGCAGCAAAGTGAGATCCGTCTTTGTGGCTGAAGATGAGTAATTAGACATCAGAGAGATAAGCTAAACAAATACACATTTGGAGGAAGAATTAAAAAAAAATATTATTTAAGATTATGTGCATTACTTACTGTTACGGTTGTTGCTCAAAAATCTCCTTTCCATTTTACTTTAACAGTTATGAAACGGACACAGCTGGTTTTCTCTATTTTTTCATAGTTTCACAACGTCTAACCTGTGGCTACAAATATATAAAAAAACGCGAACTAGACACATTAGACGGTAAATAACCCAAAACTAAGATATAAAGACGATTTTCTCCGAAGTATTGTCTGTCTAATATCGCAACAAGTCACTGAACGTTACTTAGTGCAGCGCAGCTTTGCTAACGTTCTATATGCTAGCTGGCAGGCGCGTGACGCGCATCTCCGCGTTACCATAGAAACCCGAGGGGTACCTCCCCCCATTGATTCTTCCAGAAATTGGTTTAAAATGAAAGAATACAATGATTCACTCATAATAAACGTATTGCCATTACAAATACATAAAGTGTTATTTGAAATTAGTGGATGTACTTTTTATTATATTTATTTATTTAATCAAATAATGTAAATCAAATTACTCAGGTGAACATATACAAGCTGGTAGATTACACTGTATGTGCAATACAAAGATATAATGTCTTTAAGGCTTTTGAATTTGCAGAATACTTTAAGGTGGACGAAAGAGAGGACAGCGCTTCTAATAAATGTCAAAAACAGCCTGCCATAATTCTTCCATAATGGTCTGCTAGAAATGTTTTCTGACAGATCCTTACGTCACACTTTGCGGGACCTCCCCCTCCTTATATTTTTTTGGCTAGTGTTGCATAGCTGTTGTATGTTAACGGACTTTGGTTCTTTTGTAGCAGATATCCATGTAAGTGCTGTAAGTGCGTGATTTTATACATTTATGTAGCTTTTTTAAATGTGCGCGTTTACGACCTCGTCAAGAATCCTGGGTAATGTAGTGTTAGCTTTTACCAAATGTCAGCGGAGACATTAAGCTAGCATGCTATCAGCTGCAAACTCGGTAAATCTCCATAATGTAGACGTGTAATAATGCAATTTAATGTGTCCAGATGCTATCTTGGTTTGCTTTGGTTGCTGCTTTAAAGCTGACTTAGCAATGTAATGTAATGTTTGCTCGCATTTAGAGGGAAACAGAGAACTCTAATGCAGCATAACCTGAAAATGATCTGTGCTGGTATTGATTTGTTTGCTTTTCTTGCTCAGACTTGAGGGGAAAAACTCACTCATAGAACCAGATCCGTAGCAGTAGCGATGTATGGACGTGTGTGCTCCAGCATTGTTCAGAGAGCTTCCAGCTGCAGGCTGATAATTTTTCACACAGTCCCATTCCAGGTTAGTATCCTGATCAGACTGCTGCATTTTAAGTACTATTCACATTACATAATATTCATTTTTTAAGGGGTGTTTTGACTCACATTATAGCCTATTTATTATGTATGAATGTATTGATTGATATATTTTTTTTAACCTTACAGGCTGTCCATAATTGTCCTTTTTCATCCTGGAATCTGTCTGGAGTAGACTTGAAATTCTGCACTATTAAAGGATCTGTACTCTGGACTCAAAGCTGCCGTCATTTCTCAACACGACAGGATTTAGACTTCCAGCAGAGCCAGATGCAGATCAATAGCATTCTAAGAAGCAATGAACAGGTAATGAAAACTACCGAACACTCAGTTCTGAGCTGCAGTGACAATTATACATGCAAGCACGTGCATCCTACATGCAAAAACGTGCTGTAGACAAGTCAGATATCTACAGCATGTCAAAAGGCAGCCCATTACTGGTTATGGTGTTATGGCTCTCCACCCAGGGAAGCATCACTTGTGGAGTACCTTAATCCTGAAACATTTTATTTATTTATTTTTTCTTAATGCTGCTTTTAGAACGCACACCATAGAGGCAGCATAAAAGCACCTGCTGCGTCATTTTTTATGCTTGTACACTTTAAGGTCCGACGCGCCTCATGTGCATTTTTGACTCTCTTGAAGAGAGACCAGTAAAGTGTGTCCAGATGCGTCTGATGCTTCGGCTGCTACTGTGCTCAATGCCAGAGAGTGGCTTTGCTATATTTGCTGTTATAACTGAGTAAAAAGTAGTTTTTAATACATTTTTAAGTGAGAAAGCTCAACTTAAAACTTCATCTGTGCATTCAGTTAATCAAGATTAAGATCCTGCCTTAAAATATTATTTCGCTGTCGGACCAACCCCAAACCCTTGTACACCTGTGGTGCAGTGTCACCGGAAATCCTCTTCAACAGCAGCCACTGGCCCGGTCGCCTCTTGGGGATTTTTCGCCACTGTTCGTGGCGGCTGGAAGGAGATGTTAGCGGATTCCATGTACATAATCCAAAATGCACGTACCAGAGTAATAAAAACCTAACATATTTTGCTGGCAGATTCCAACATTTTAAGTTAATTTAAGTGTTAATAAACTGTTTCAGGGGAGTGATAATAGTTCCCTGCATCAGCAGTGCTGTATCTGTCTCCCTGCCAGCTGCCAGATCAGCTTCTCTTATTGGTTGATGTGGCGCGTCGAACAGCAAAAGTTAAATTTTTTTCAACTCCAGCTGCAGCTGCTTGTGAAGCGCACCAAAAGCTGCTCAGATGCGTCAAGAGGCACTGCTCCTGCTGCTCGAAACGCACTGCAGGACCTTTTGATGTGCCTCGATGTACGACAACCATTGACATTGCGTGTAAACCAGCTGCTTCTGCTGCTCTTGCAGCGTGCGGCCTGAACGTAGCATAAAAGTACTGTTGACAGTGTTTTTTCAGCTTCGTGTTCCAGGATCGTCTTTGTATTAGTTGCCTTGCATGTCAATCTGTGTGACATATTCACCTAATACATCAAATATAAATGATTAGGAGAAAGTTTTCCTGGATAATCTTTATCAGTTATTTATGGGACTTGTTCTCGGTGCTAAACATGCAACAACTTTCGCTGGCAAACAAAACGTTTTCCAAAAATGTACAATTTCTGATAAGAAATGCACCGTTTGGTTTCAGACTGTTAATGTGCCAGAGTTTGATGGGAGGGTGCTCAGCGCAGTGAGAAAGTTTGAAAGCAACCAGCTTCCCGCAAACACTCCCAATGAGGACCGTCGTAGTTCAGCCACCTGTTTACAGGTATGCATCCACCACTTCTGTTTGTCTTTGTTTCCTCCATTTATAGAAATGTCTTTTTTTTCTGTGATCCCCAGTCAAAGGGCATGCTGTTTGGAGTGTTTGATGGCCACGGGGGCTGGGCATGTGCCCAGGCTGTCAGTGAGCGTCTGCTCTACTATGCAGCAGTGGCAATGATGCCAAAGCAAACCCTGGAAGAGCTGGAGAGGTGCATGGAGAATGGCCGACCTGTTCCACCCATCTTACAATGGTATAAACATCATACGGATTTTAACTATCGGGAATCTGCCTCCCTGTACATAAACCACCTTAGAGTCTTCTGGCAGGAGCTACTGAACAACGAGGAGCATGACGAAGGCATGAGGTAAGTGTAAATGTTTGTTGTTCTAGCATTCCTTTTCCTCGGCTTTTAACACAGTCTTAGATGTTGACTTTGTCTCACTGTATTTCTTTTATTATTTTATTATTGCTTTTTATTTTATTACTACTTTTATACACTTTATTTATTGTTTTTATGATTGATTGTATTTTATGATTGTGTATAGCACTTTGTTCCTTTTGGTTGTTGAAAGTGCTTTATAAATAAAAATTGTGTGGCATGGTACCCTAAACAACTATTCCTACTTCTAAAATAACATGAGACGTAATTAGAATAGTTATATTAATGCCATTTAGGGCTGAATCAGATTAATCGTGATTCATTTATTATTTATAACCGTCAAATAATTTAGTAATCCATTAATAGTTAACTGGAGTATAGAGACTCTAAAACATGCCTTTAGCTGACAGATCGACCCAACCAAAGCAGTTTTTATACCAAAATTGTAAAAAAAAAAAACATAAACATTTAACATTGAAGTTGAAAAAACTTTTTTTTTTACCATTGATATGCTCTGTCCAGAAGGTGTTAAAGGGCACAGTTTTAGCTTCATTTGCATTAAATTTGGTGTATTTTTCAAGGAACCTTTTGCCAATTATTTGACTGTAAATCGAAAAAAGAATCAACAGATCAATTAATTAGCAAAATAGTTGTTAGTTGCAGCTCTAATGCCATATATTACATCTTTCTTGTCATCATGGAAAAACTTTAGTGATCATCTTTGAGCCAGCCGATTGTCAGTGTGCAGCATCATGGTGGTGGTTGCTGCTGCACACTGACTATCAGCTGGCTTAACGAAGATTATAGAGATAATCCCAGACACTTTGGCACACTGCTATCTCTATGAAAGCTGTTAGCAGGTTTATTTTCTTTTTAAAACTTGAAGCTGCAGATGTATTTTTCCACTGTGAAACTTAATGGAAACTTAATGAAACACTTAGTCACTATAATGTTATATAAATGCTCGGCATAGCAGCTTATTACACAGTGAATGTTGAATCAAACCAAAATCGTCTATCTTTTTATTTAGCCCTCTGGATGCTCTGGACTGCGCTTTTAGACGTCTTGATGCTGATATATCTTTGGAGGCTCAAGTTCCCCTTTCTAATGACCTCATGAAAAGCACAGCCATCCAGGTAACTTCAGTCTTTCACTTTAGTACTTTAGAGCTTATACAGTCATTATGGTACATGCAAGGAAAAAATATATTTACCAACCAGACATCCGAACGACAAAGCTCTTCAGGATGCGTTCAGCCAATGTTTTAAAGTTCCTGTGGTGAAAACCAATAACCAGTTTATTGGTTGTGCATCCTCTGCTATTTGACAGCTAAAATCAGACATCGGTAACCTTTTAACAAGTGTTCTAGAGACACAGAGATTGTCTAACTTTCACTATACCTTCCAGGTTGCATTTGCTGGATGCACTGCTTGTGTTGCTCATGTTGGCACCGATGGGATCCACGTTGCAAATGCGGGAGACTGCCGGGCAGTTTTAGGGGTTCAAAACAATGACGGCTCATGGAGCGCTGTGCCTCTTTCTAAAGACCACAACTCACAGAACCTCAGTGAGCTGGAACGGATTAGAGCTCAGCATCCACCTACGGAGAGAGACACAGTGGTCACAGATGACCGACTGCTTGGGGTGAACTACGGTCTCACTGAACAAATATAAAAAAAAAAAATCTTTTTGATTATGTAAGGGTCATTTTTTTTCTTCTATCTTACTTTCAGGTTCTCATGCCTTTACGTGCCTTTGGGGATGTGAGATTCAAATG